CCGCCGCCCCCCCCCTGATCCCACCACCTGCATCGGGTTTGGAACAGCTTAGATGTGGTGTGGGCTGTCCACCCATGCTGCGTGGACCCCTGGGCTGGGACCGGGCTGGTCTTTCTAGCACAGAACTCCAAGGAGGCTAAGAATTCTAAGTTATATGAAACTGCCTTCAGGTTGTCAAGGTGAAAGGTGGAACAAGTTTTATGTCACTGTTTCTTGGCTTGATTTAGAACTTTTAAATGTGTAGACAACGGCATGGGGCCTTTGTTTGCACTCTCTCCCAGGCCCTGCAAAGGTCTGAGCTGGCCAAGGTCAGGGTCAGGCTTGGACTCTTCTTCCAACTGAGTTTAGAGGAAGGCCAGTGTCAAGTGATTATAAAATACCATCTCTCAGCTCCTGGAACCCTACTGTGTGCCAGCCACTCGCCTATTCTCCAATCCTCATGATAACCTTGAAAAGTTAAGGTTTTATCCCCCCTTCCAGATAAGGAAATTGAGGCTCAGAGAGCCAAGGTCACTTGCCCAAAGCCGCATGGCCCAGAAATGGCTGTGGTGTGGGCCCTGTTCCAGTCAGTCCTCGGCTGCCTGCTCCCCCAGGGTCTCGGCAAGGATGGCTGCAGCCATCTGCGTGACACCACACATCAAGCCCGCTGCTTGGACCGACTGGGTTGGCCCACAGACGTCTGGGGACAACGTGCCCTCCACCTGCTCGTGTCCTCTGGTGCCATGGAAGCCCTTCAGCCGCCCCCTTCTTGGGGGAGCTCCCCGGGCCCCTTACCAGGTGCAGCAGCACGCGCAGGGCGTCCCGGGCACGCTCCGGGTGCTGGAGGATCTCCGTGAGGGCCTGGCCGATGAGTGAGGACGGGCTGTTGAGCTTCACATCACTGCCAATAAGCATGAACCCTGCGGAGAACACAAAGGGGCACCTCAGAGCCCGCCCCCCCAGTCTCCACGGCTCACCTCTGCCTCATAGTTATCCCACCAGAAAGAGAGGAACCTGCCAGGACAGCTCTCTAGGGGCTGGGCTGTGGGATGTCTACTTCACTGGGGGGCAGTCTGGGGCCTTTCTGTCCCCTCCCTTTAAGAATCAATACCGTTCCATTGCTCAGCGGGTGGAGTGCTGCTTTGCAGTGAGAGCTGCTCAGGAAAGTGCCTCTGCTTCCGGCTGCCCCGTGAGTGAAGGCGGAAAAAGGCTGTGCCAAGGCTGTCCTGGGCCCCCAGGGCCCTGCCCTGGCTTGACTGCCATCCTGAGGAATGACCTGCTTTGTCTTCTCTGAAACTCATCTGGGTCTGTCTGTACACACCTGGGGACAGAGGGGCAGGTGTGCCCGCCGCAGGGGACGGAGGGTCTGGGAGTGTGCTCTGTGACAGCTGGTCACAGGAGGGGGGTGAGGAACTGTCCCTCTGAGCTCCATGTGATGACCTGCGTCCTCCTTGGGGCCACTGGACAAGAGGGCAGGAGGAGGTACTCCCTCCAACTGTAAGAACAAGCAAACAGCCAGATGGGGGAGGCCCACATGTCCGCCTGGGTCCTGTCCCTCTTGCCTCAGCGCTGCTTCTCTAAGCAGGGCCTGGGGGAGGCACAGACAGAGCAGTCTCCTCAAGCCCCCAAGCAGCTTTAGGACCAACCTGCCCCCAAACAGTTAAGGGAAAGGGTTTTCTAAAAAATGAATGAGCCAACGCTGTTTTGAAGGGTAACAGGGCAGCATCATTAAATATCATTTTCCCCAGAACAAAGTTGTGACTTTAAAGTGTCACTAAAACTAAACAAGGACAAAAATACCACATCCCTAAGTACCGTGGGAAGACATGGAGGGGGTCCTGCATAGAGCGGCAGGGGGTCTGTCAGGAATAAATGGCCAGGCCCAGGCACCGGTTCCCCCGAACCCTGCAGTATGTCCGTGGGGCTGCAGGCCAAAGCCCCTTCTGATTGCCGGAGCGTGTATAAAACTGACACTGGCTGCTGAGAACAGTCATGGAAACCGCCAGCATTGCCTCTGATTTCTGCATCTCCTGGCAGCAGAGGCAGTTTAGCAGCGTAGTCAGGCCCAAACCCTCAGGGCCTGCCGCTCGCCCTCCACTTGCAGAGCGGGGCGGCCCTGAGGTGAGGGCCTCCAAAGAGTAAGCCCGCGGGACCAACTGAATGCTTCTCTTCTACCACGTGAAAAAACAGGATAGATTCTACTTTGTTTTTTTGAATACAAAAATACAACAGCTGTGTTGTGTTTGTGAAGTAAACCAATGTTTCCGTAGCTCAACAACATGGCCGGCCCCCAGGGCTCCTCGCTAGCTAGCTGGCCACGTGGGCCATGGCTCCACTCAGGGCTTATCCAGCTCTGGAAAATGATACCAGCAATGTCAGCACATGTCAACTGGACTGATTCTGAGAGGAAGAGTAAGGTGAAAGCCATTGTGTTCCCAACTTTTAAATATATTCATGGATGGTCCATTTTTTTGCCATTGAAACAATAAAATGTAAATGTTTGAAATAGTATTTTTGGTGTTCCTCTGTTTCTTATGGCTTAAGACACTGCTTTCTGAGTCGGTACCATCGTTACCGCATCGGTGGAGCCCCCTGGGAGGTGTGGAAGCCAATTCCGAGACCATCACAGACTGAAGGTCACGAGGTGTGTCAGCAAAACCACTCCAGTGGGTGAAGAGAATGGCCCAGGGTTGGGTTTGGAGTCTGTGGGTCACAGCCTGTCAGGGAGGGTCTCCTACACGGCAGGGTCCACAGGGACCCCAGGGGACGCAGGACATCACCTGGAGCTGAGAGGCAGAGGTCCTCACCCCGTTCTGTGACCAGGTGTCACAGGAACATTCTCCCTCCACACCCAGACCCCTGGCCCCTGCGGCAGGCCCACTCAGAGCATGCGCTGTTGGCTTCCAGAATGTAGCTTCTCACACATCACAAGACACTCAATCCACTCTTCACAGATCATCTCGAATGTGGACAGGGAGGTATCATCAGCCCTACCACCATCAATCTCCGCATTGTTACTGCTGAGGACACTGAGCTTCAGAAAGGGTAAGTAACTTGCCTCAGGTCACACAGCCTGGACACAGCTAGATCAAACCTGAGTCTTCCAGATGCCAAATCTAGGGGCCTTCTACCACACCGCTTTCTTCCACAGTCCTGGGGCTTACACCAGGGTGCCATAAAACGGGTCATCCAGTAAACACTAACCTCAGGAGGGGTTTTCCATTCACTCCAATGGCAAGCTGTTCTGCTACTGCTCCCCGGTCCAAAGACTATTTTAATACCGGGGCAGTAAAGGACTGATCGGGCAGGGGGCCGAGGTCTCAGCAAACGAGGCTGTCTACTTGAACCTTCCCATGCTGCCTTTTCCAGTGCCCCGCTCTGCTCTGCCCTCCCCACCCCGACCCCTGGAGGTGACCGCTGGTAGCCCACACTCCTACCTGCCCAGTTGGAGGGGTGTGAGAAGGCCTTGCTACTCTGCACCACCTTCATGGCCTCCCCCAGTGCAGCACTGGCCTTCAGGCCGTTCAGCAGGGATGAGTAGAAAGCATGGAGGAACATCTTGGAAGCAGCCACGGGCACAGGCCACAGAGACACGAGGACACACTGTGCACCAGCAGCCAGGAAGGCCCGTGTCAGCGCAATCACCCCGTCGGCTGTGACCTTGCTGTTGGACTCCTGAGAGGAGCCGAGGACCACCAGCTTCACGGGAAGCCGCAGGTCCAGGACGTCGGCGGCCGTGAGCAGCAGCTCCTGCAGGGGCGGGCAGTCCGAGATGCTCTCCCCATCACTGGCGTCGTCCTGCACCCGCAGGGACTCGGGGATGGTGTAGGGGTGGCCGAAGGAGCTCTTGCTGCTGGCAGGATTGCCGTCCACACTAGGTGTGAGGACCAAGGCCGACAGTTTCCAAGAGATGTGGGTGGCAAAGTGGACGCACTCGGCCTGGGTCAGGGCACTCATGACCCGCTCTTTGGTGGCCACACTGCCCACCAGGGGCTGGCAGCCCAGCAGCTCCGACACCATGTAGGCTTCCTCCTCAGCTGATGGCATCGGCCCCCACAGCCACCTGTCCATTACCGCTGACGGGAGCTTGGGGTTGCCGATGACAGCCGCCATGGACGTGGAGCTGGAGTAGGTGGGCGGGGTCTTCCTCAGGTGAGACTAGGAGGGAGGAACGATAGGGACACCACCATCAGCCTGGCCAAGGTGCCCGGCAGTGGTCGGCTGAGCCACGGGCTTCTGCGGAGCACAGAGGCCGGTGCTCTCCCGTCAGGGCTGGGTCTGCCTTGGCTTCACCTCTTCTCCCAATCACCTTGTTCACTCTAATTTTCAACACCATTTTGACACAGGTGCATATCTTACAGAGAATCACACCTGCTATGATAAGCTATTGACAATACTCAGAGCGGGATGGTACAATAGGAAGGCCCCTCCCCATTTGTGAAGCCCCAGGAGAGCTGGGGGAGGAGGCACTGACGGGACACAATGTGTGGGAGGTGAGGGTCTGCAGCGTCCGTCTGCCCAACATCTCTCACCCCCCGGTGTGCCCCTAAGTAAGGGGAAACCCACTCCTGATGAGTCAGGGCTTAGAGGGGTGCTCTGTTTAAAATGAAGAAAAACCAAGGCACCCTCAGGGGAGACAGGACCAAATTAAATCCTTTAGAGGCATGGCCTACTGAAAAGATTATAATTCCCTTCTGCTTTACGTGCTGCAAAATAAAAACATCACTGAGTATAAAATCAGCATAAAGAAGTCTAACAAGGGCCAGCCGAGTGGCGCGATGGTTAAGAGCTGGCTTGGGATGCCAGAGGGCCCCGGTTCAGATCCCACATATGAGGGCCAGTGACACTGCCCTCTACAGCTAAGATGGTGAACAACAGCTCAACCTGGAGCTGGGCTGCCAGCAACGGCATAGGCGGCAGTGGGGCTGGCCGGGAGCGGGCGTGAGCTGCCGTCCAATGGCCAGCGAGCGACTGCCTTACCCGGGAAGAGCACAATGAGAATACCAACATGGGCCAGTGAAGCAACGTCCTCCACAACTAGACTGAAGAACAAAAGGACAGCAACTTGTCTGTTCCCCTTCCCTTGATTCCAAGCGCTGTTCCCCTCCCCCAATTCCCCAATCAAATCTTAAAAAAAAAAAAAAGTCTAACCAATTTCTGATTTCCCCCATGATGCCTTTTGGGAAACATCAAGTATTAAATTCTTTCAAAAGAGCTTTTTGGTGCCTCCTCTTGGTGATGACTTAAAGTCTGGGTAGGCGAAGTGGCTGGTGGTGCCCACGGGCGAACGGGACTCTTCCATCCCTGGGGAAAGTTGGCAAACAGCCAGCTCAGTATTGTCACCGACACGAAGCTCTCCTAGCACAGCGGTCTCTGATCCCCAGGGTGCTGCTGGCCCCTGTGCGGGACAGTGTCCAACCAGGCCACCTGGGATTCAGTCAACCAAGGACATGAGAAAAACTCAGAGAAAATCATTTCTTTCACTTTGAACTGACTCTGTCCCATGACAAAGGTACAATTCAGCAACAAAAATAACCAAAACTAAGATCCCAAAATCCCAAGAGGCAGAAAATGACCTTCTTTAAGCCATGCCAATGACCAAGGGTCACTGGAGGCCAAGACAGGTTCTGCTGGGGCCACTGGTGCCCAGGACCTGGGGTCTGGATTCATAAACCGGACGGCACTTTCTCCTATTGGGAGGAGGCCCATCTGACGGAGTCCCGCCTGGCGGTCTGCAGGGCTCTGACAGCAACCGGCAGCTGGAGGACACTTTCCAGTCTGAAGCTGGAGCAGTTGGGGCAGGTGCGGATGCTGCACGTGCCAGGGTCAGGAAGGGCCAGACGAAGCCAGGCTTTCGGATCTCTGAGCAAGTTTGGAGGAGGGGAAGAGGATTCAGGCTTGGCTCGAAAGGCTCTCTAACCCCGTGGGCAGGGCCAAGGGTGGCTGTGGGGTGAGAACCGTGGCTGCACGGCCCACCGCTGCCCTCTTGATTTTTCCAGATGTTTCTTCCCGTCCTGATTTTGCTGAATGAGACCCAAGTCCCTGCCTGTCCCTTAAAAGCCGCCTCATTTGTTTTCAGTTGTTTTGTTGGCCTGCGGGATTGATTCTTTTCCACTTGACGCTAATCTTATTTGTCTGCTGTCCCTGCCTGTGGCCCCTCCACCGGGCAGCCTGGGCTCCCAGTCAGCAGTCAGCTAGAGGGTGGGGTGAGCGTGGCGCTGGCTGGGCCTCGCAGTGGGCAACCAGCTTCCTCAGATACTTGGCCTGGCCTCAAGCCTGACTTAGTGCCTTCTAGGTCACAACCCTGATGTCGCAGCTAAGAGAGAAATGACCCAAGTGGTGGCTCCCTGAGCTAGCAAAGGGCTGTCAGGGGTCAGGAGGGCTGTGCCTCTGCCTAAGGACATACCTAGAGTCATCCTACCCAGCTGCAAGCCACACAATTAACAGTTTGAAGAGATCACACCCGATGGCTTCAGAGCCCGTCTGGCTCGAGGCCGTGCCTGGAGGACCGGAGAACACGGCACCCACAGGCCTCCCTCTCGCGAGCCTTACCTTGGACTGCAGGCCGAGGGCACGGATGGAAGGGACTGCGATGAGGGTGAAGCGCTCGTACAGATACTCGTTGGAGGAGCTTCCCTTCAGGAGGGCGAAAGGGATGAGGTAGAGCTCCCCCTCCAGAACCAGGACTAGCTGCCGGTGCCGGCCCACGGGGCCGCTGGAGTGCATCAGGCCCTGCAGAGCAAGCATGGGGCTTAACGCAGCGCCCGGCAGGGCGGGCTCGTGCACGCCAGGCCAACCCCGAGCCGTGGGGAACTGAATACGCCTGGAAGGACCAGGCACATCCATCCGAAGGGTCCCAGACGGAGCCTGGGCGATGGGTTGGGTGCTGCCCACCGAAGTGTCACCAAGTGGGGGCTTCCCCTGGCCTCACAGGCCTGAGGACGTTAGAGGACTGTCTCCTTAGGTCTGCGGGACAGGGTGGGAGACGGGGTTCAGGGGTCATGGAGGGGATGTCCCACAAAGACAAGGACTGGCCCCGGTAGATCCAGATGTTTCCAAAGGAAGCAGGGAATGAACACAAACGGCAGTTATCCCAGAAAGAGCAGTGTAAGTCATGGTGTACCCTAAAGGACAAAGGGCGGGGGTGCGGCATGGGCACAGGGACCCCAAGAGCAGTGTAGGAATGACTGCACTCAAACAGGCAGCAAGAACTCAACCAGAGTGGGACGTGTCCGTTTCAGTGGACAAGAGGCCAGGAAACCAGGGTGCGGACGGAAGGTTTGGGAACTAGAATGACATCCCCTGCAGGAGAGGGACCTTGTGTGACCTCTGGGCCTCTGTGCTCCCCTGAGGGCTGGACGGCCCCTTGTTCCGGGCTCTGCCGTGCTATCCCCACTCACTGTCCTGGGGCTGTCAGGGGAAGGGATGCTGATGTGAACCCCATCATTCCTGAAGGTTCAGCATGAGGATGTGAGGGAGGGGTGCATGCAGACCCACACAGACAGACAGAACATTCTTGTTCTCTACAGACCCATTTCTTTCCAAAAGAATTGCTGATGGAGACCAAGGCCGTGTGAATCTTAATAAAATAAGAAGGAAACTTGGGAACGCTGGGCTGGACAGGCTCAGTGTGAATAAAGAGATGACACAGAAGCCGCTGCTCGAGCTCAGACAGGTGCCCCCAGAGCGGGCTGGGAGCACGGTCCAGGGCCGACTGACCACTGAAAACACCGCACCGGGCACGGGCCCAGCCCTGAGCCTAAGGGGTGGCCCTGGCTCTGTGGAGTCACAGCCAGGCTCCCCACACGCTCGCCTCTGGCTGCCTCCATGTTCCACAGGAGCGAACGTGCGTGCTAACGCGGCTGACACACTGCTGTGGGCGCTCAGCTGAGGGTGGCAGAAGGCACTCAGCTAACCCGAAGTGACATGGGCCTGGCAGGACATTCAGTTTGTACAAACCCCCTGTGGCTTTGTTCTTTCTATTTTATTATTTTTTTTAACTTCTAGATGCATCTAAAGAACAGAATAAAAATTATCAGACCAATTTTCTTCTTGCTTGCTTTAAGAGCCATATTTTCCAAGAGCTAAAACAATCACTGCAGGTAGAACCCAGGAAGGAAGAAGTGGGGTGTGTCACAGTGCCCCCAATCCTGTCCGTGATTTGTTTCTGGGTTGGCACAGGGAAGTGGGGAGAGATGGGGGCCCCCAGCCCTGCTCCACACCATCTGTCAGCCCCTGGGACTGGTGTCCCCACCATGGGCCCTACTGAACTCTCTGCCTGGCTGGGCAGGTGGAGTTGGCTCTGGGAGGCCACTCTGGCGGGCAGTGCCACCCACTACTGCAGTGTCCCTAGTGGACCTGGAAGTGGGGTTGGAGCGGATGGGCTGATGCTGCCCTGACCTTGGTGAATGGGTCAGCAACTGTGACAGTGACAACTGCTCACTGCAGTAAGAGCCTTACTGCCCTGCTGTGGCAATGCGGGGGGCACAGGCCACCTGCCATGTGCAACACCAGACCCACCTTGGCTGACAGAACATGCAGGATCACCAGGGGTCGTTGGACGAGATGCCAGCCCCACTCCTGCAGGTCCGCCCTGGACTCCTGCTACCGGGGTCTAAACCCCAGTAAGTGTGTCAGGTGTCATCCCACAGGCCTCTGACTTCACTGAGACACACACACTCTCAGACAAGTCCCTAGGCATGACAGCACCTGCACATGTGTCTCAAAGGCGAATGAATCAAGGTGTGTTGGGTAAAGTGAGGTGACCACAGGGGATGGCTGTGCAGGGTAATTCAGACACGGAGACAGCATGCCCAAGAAGGGGACAAGGAGACCTGCCAGGACTTGGTGAAGACTGAGCTAACGGTGACAAAAGGGAGAAGTCTGTGAAATTCTAGCCTAGGAGAGTGGGACACTTTTCTCTGAACTGTGTCCCAATTCATAGATCTGGGTCCTCCCAGGACAGTGCCTGGTGCTGGTACTCAGCAGGCACAAGCGTGCAGCCTTGGGCAAGGGCCCTGAAGGAGAGCCCTGTGCGGGCAGCGTGGCAGGAGGCAGGAGGTGGCAGCGTCGGCTTGTGGGCAGACAGGTTGCACAGCAGAATGACAGCTCCAGTTAAAAGGTGGCGGGAAAGCTGATTGAACGTGCTGGGAAAAGATGCCCGAGAAGCTGTCTCTGAATTCTGCCTCCAGGATATCCGAGCACTGCCCTTGTACAGAAAGATTAGCTATAATCCAAAGTGAACTTAAAAATTGGAAATAAAGTGATGTCTCTTTCCAAATCCATATCATCTGTTAGATGGAAAAGGAGAAACGATTCAAGGAAATGCTGCTCTGCGCCTCCGAATGTCAGTCTGGAAGGGTATTTGCGGGCTTTGTAAGTCCTGGGTTTGGAAGATAAAAGAGCTCAGCACCAGCCCTGCACCTGCAACTCACAGAGTCCAACAAATCCCAGCAAAGACTCGAAATTTCTGACCTCTGAACGTTCTAGAAATGGATCTTTTGAAGTAGAACAAGACAAGGCCAAATGCACTACAGTCTATTCCCCCAGGGCGTGTCCCTTCACTGTCACCAAGGGCTGGGACCCTTCCCGTTGCAGTGCCAGCCCACACAGCAAAGAGCACTGGAGAGCTGGCTGTGGGCCAAGCTGGGGATGGAAGGGGAGGGATGGGTGCCAAGCAGGCAGGCAGGCAGGCAGGAACGGCGATGAGCAGACAGGTGCGGCTAAGGTCCAGGCTTTGCAGAGGGAGAGGGTTGTTCCTTTACAAGAGGCAGGAAGTGGGCACCCTGCAGGTGGCTCTGGGTGGCTGTTACCAGTTTACAGCCTCAGCTACTGACACCCTGTCAATACCTGCCCTGTGATACACTGGATTCCTGCAGCCGACTCTCCTGTCAAGTGAGCAGGCGCTGAGCTTTCTCAATAGAGGACTGAGGAGTTGCAGGGGGAGGGAATCGCCTGCCAGCAGCCTAGGTTGGTGGCGTGTGTATGTGAGGACACCCAGGGGAGCCCAGAACGTGGTCCTTCTGGAGCCTTACAGTCTCCGCCTGGCAATGATAACCTGCCCACAGCTCTGTCTGCATGGAAACCAGGCCTGTGCACCCATGCAACCTGTGCACTTGGCAGGCCTCGTGTCTCCACAGACGCCCAGGCTCCACTGCACACCCTCGCTCATTGCCGGCCCTCCTGCCGGCACTCAGAGGGTGGCCTGTTGCTTGCCCAGCAACTATAGACCGGCTCCAGCACGGCCAAACCAGCAAATGTCCCTGATATCCAGTGGGCTGAACCATGAGCCACACCTTCTCCAGGGTTTGTCCTTTCCTGGGTGCGCGCCCTCAGCCTGAGAACCATGGAGAGCTTCTTATATTTTATAGCAACTCTCTTTCCAGGTGGAATAAATATATTAAACTTCCCCGGTTAACCCACTGTGTGATTTCTATCTCCTGACTGGGCCCAGACTCTTCTGTCGAGCTGGGCTTGTCCAGTGACCAGGAAGGGACGGTGCCTTCTGGGGACAGGCCTGGCCTTCGCATGGGGTCTGGGTCCGTCTGCTATGTGCGGCGCTCTGGGTGACCTGGAATTGCTAGATCACGGGGTGTGCGCTAGGGATGGGGGGGTGTGGTGGTTCTGAGCACCTCAGCAAGATGCTCACCTTCCTGAGCCTCAGTTTCCAACCCATAAGCCCATGCTCCTGTCCATTACATCACAGGCCTGGGGGACAAATCCAGCTGCTGCAGGGCATGGGCCACCAGGCCTGGCTCCCAGGACACCCTGGTCAGATGCGAATTCACAACTGTCTTCAGGTGCTTGAAGTAAGCTGAACACAGGCCCTATTATTTATACTATTCTTTCCTCTGGGCGCCAATCACTTCTCCCAAACAATTCATTCCCTTTCTCTCTGGTGTTTATAAACCATCAGGTGGCTAAAACATGTAAATGGCCTCCCTGGGGCATCCACTCCAAATTTTAACCCAGGGACTAAAAGAGACCAATGTCACCACTGTCTTTCTCATCTGCGCTTACCATCACCGTCATCCACGGCCATTCCTGGCACCTGTGAAATCTGCTACCAAACCTCTGCCCTGAAGTCAAATGTCTGAATCTGCTGTTCTCCCCGGCAGCTCCCACAGGTCCCAAATGTTCACGTGAGTGGTGAATTCTGATTCAACCACCATTTTAGTCTGTGGGGATCTCAAATACACTCATGGTGACCAGGGGTCCTGCCCTGTTTAGAAAGCACTGACATCAAATGGAATGTCATATGTGTACTGATTTCTGGCTTGAGAGCTACATGCTCAATGCACATCATCCACGTTCAAAGGATTAGCCTGCAGCCTCCATAAGTGGGGAGTTTTGTTTTCATGGAAGGATGCAGGAGGCCTCTCAGAGTGTCACAGCATCACACGCCAGAAGAATGAACGTCCTTGGTCATCATGGGGAAGGGAAAGAAAACTCCTAGGACAGTGACCTTTTGGGCAGATTAGATTTGGAATGAATCTTTGTCTATAACAAAGATTCAAGAAGCAAAGAACTTCTGGGACTCTGTATATCTGAGAATTGTGTATAGGGCTCAAGGATTTTTCTCTGACTCACATTTTTGATTGAGTGAATTGATTAAATAGAACCTTTTAAGGTAGAAGAACTTTTTCTGTGATACATCTGAGGAATCTTGGCATCATGGATGGATGCATATAGTTTCAGCAAATATCACTACAATAGTCCCCCCTTGGTGGGTA